ACAAACTGTCCCTGGGGCTGGGCCACCCCCTCCTGGAGCCCCGGCAGGTGAGCGCGTCCAGGTGGATGGGCGGGTGCGGTGGGTGCCCAGGGCGCATCGAGCATCGCCGCCTGGAGCGCTGCCCTTCGGGGCGCACTGAAGTCCCCCTGACCCTTCCCTTGCAGGCGGACTCCTGCACCCCAGAGCCGACCCAGTGTGGGGGTGACATGGCCCAAGGGAACAACTACTACGGGCAGACCAGCAACGGGGTGGCAGACGAGTCCCCCAACATGCTGGTGTACAGAAAGGTAAGGCTGTTTTGGAAAAAGGGGGAGAGCTGGCTTCCTGGGAATTTTCCCGGCGATGAAAGTCAAGACCAACTTTCTGGCCCGGGGTGGGTTTCCTGAACCCCAGCGCCTGCGCTGGAGGACAAGCTGGTGTCCTCACATCAGGGGTGCAGATGCAGCCAGCTGTGTCCTCACACGTCTGGGCGATTCCACAGCCTGGGATCTGTATTCAGCCATAGCGGAAAATGCGAGCGTCCCCCGTAGTCCTGGGCGTCACGCACATGATTTTGCAGCGCCCTTCATAACGTTTAGCAGCATTCCCTCTACTGTCCTTATAAGCATTTGGGTTATAATAATATAAAAGCTCACCGTGAGAAATGAAAATAAGCCCGCTGTGCTGTCCTGTGGCAAGAGGGAGTGTGGCTGCGAGTGTACGGACGGTTTAATGGTTTTCCTCCTAACCACACAATAATTCTGCTGGTATTTGTCATAGCCTAAATTGTTTTTTTTTTATCTGGTGTTATTTTTATAATTTTGCTTGTGGGTATTTATGTTATCGTGCCATATGCCCAATAAATAGATCTTTATATAATAGAGGGTTTTTTTTTTGTTTTGTTTTGTCTTTGCCACAAACCAATCTGACAGCATTCTGCATTTGACAACGGTGCTATCAGCCACACATTTCTAGATACCGAGCCACTCCAACAAAGATATATTTGAATATTGGGCACGCTTCGGAGTGATTGCGCAGGTAGCTTCACTCTGGTGCCCATCAGTATTGTTACTAAAGTTAAGGAAGCTGTGTTCTTTGTGCAACTTTTGTACTACTTGTTCCTATTGCCTTTTATGCGGGGATTATTATTATTTTTTTCTTTAGCGTATGCTCTGTAGTGCGTATTGGGCAAGATTTCTTTAGCTAACCTTAGCAATGGCTGAAAGGAAACCACACTTTGAAATTGGGAACGTTTTTAAGGACTTTGATTAGCATGAGTTCCTTGAACAGGCAGGGCGAGTTTCCATGGATGGTTCCGTTAGAGCAGGGGATAAGGGACCTTTTTTTCTGCCCAGGGCCATTTGGATATTTCTAATATTACCATAGAGGGAATGGTCAACTTAAACACTAGCCTGCTGTGTCCGGGCAGACATTTCATTAACTCACCCCTAATGCCTTGGCAGGACCAGGCCAGATGATTTCGTGGGCCTTATAGGGCCCGCGGGCCGGACATTCCCCACCCCTGAGTTAAAGGATCAGGACAAATCCAAACTTCCCTTCTGTGGGGCCCAGGATCAGGCAGAGGTGATGATGAATGTGTGGAGGGAATATTGTTATTGCTTTACTGGGAAAGTGCATGGGCATGTCGACCTGATGCTAGCTGGTTTTTTTCTCTGGGCCTCAAGGACAGCGCTATGTTGTGTACCTGTGAAGACAGTTTTATGTGTCTGTGACAGAGCATTATAATAGAAAACAAGAAGAGATTAATTGCCTGGTTTAGCCTTAAAGCATCCCAAATGGATAAAGCAAGAAAAGAATCCACTTGAGCCTAAATGATTGCTATTGTATTCCTATGTTGATTGAAATCACTGGATATTTGCTCATTCTATGCAGAGTTGGTTCTGAGAAGAACTATTTGGGTGGGGGGCAGTTGTGTGTTTTAAAATAATTTATAAGGCTTTTATTGTTTGGTGTGATTCTGAATTTTGTATTATGCAAGATATGAGCGTTAATGCCTCTATCTTATAGGTGCATGTCTTGTGGAGAGTTGAACTTTTGGGTGTGAAATTACAGTGGCTAGCTAGGTCAGACTACATTTTTTCTGTTTCACAGAACAGATTGGGGTTGAATTGATCAGACGACTGAGTTATCCTGATTCGAAATAAATTGTATAGGACATCAATCCATGTGTCTTATTTAGTCAATTATCATGAAAAAGGAGACTAGGTGTTTTAGAAACAGTTACTGGATTCTTTCGTGTATCTGCGCTTCCGGTTGCTAATTTTGAATGTACTGCATAAATTGTCTAGCACCCAATTGTGTTCAGTGCTACTTGTAAATGAATAGGCTATAATGACTTCACCGAGAAATCCAACGCCTCATCCTTTTAAGTGTTACTTATTTTTGCTGGTTAAGTTTAGAACTGCTTGTGCTTCTCATGTTGACCTCCTCTTATTAGCTCTTTGCTTAGGTTGCATGACATGTATAATTTATTTTTAGAAAAGATTTCCCTGATAAACCATCATTGGGAAAAAAACAACCCAGTTCGGTACAAATAACCACCAGATAATTTATATTAAGAAACGCAGTGTCCTTGGTTACCATTTGCTAGTTACCAAGTCCGATGGTCTGGGTCTGTGTGCACATACAACATGGCATCATGGATTTCCTGGGACCATGTTGCCTCTGACTTTTCTATCACTTGTGGTCTTTGCATGGAATATCCTCTCAGTAGAGGCCGCGTTTTCTTCTTTTTTTTTTTTATGAATCATCAAATTTTATTTTTAACTTTAAAGGGTATTCAGGTTAGGCAGTTGTCAATATTCATCTGGAGAGGGGCGTAGGCCAAATAGATGTATTCGGAGAGTACATCTGCTCCCAAAGAGTAAGCCCTGTGTCACAAATGCTTATGAATCAGGAAGTCCATCAAAGTTTTAGAAAAGACCTTCGGTCCCCCAGAACATTGCTCAATAACTGCTGAGAGGACGCAGGGAGAACTTGCTGTTCTATCGACTCTCGCCAGTTTCCCACCTCTGCCCGGCTATTCACAGAGCCCTTGCGAGTGGGTTCTGAACTACGCCTCCCCCTGCCCTGCCAGGCCGCCTCTTGTTCACTGCCAGGATTCTGCTGACTTCCACACCCTGCAGATCTGCAGAAGCTGTGTCCATTTTATCCTGGTAGCCTGCGAGTGATCCTTAAGGACATCCTTGTGCCCTGGCTGGTGTGGCTCAGTGGATAGAGTGTCGGCCTGCGGACTGCAGGGTCCCAGGTTCAGTTCAGGTCAAGGGCACATGCCCGGGTTGCAGGCTCGATCCCCACTAGGGGCGTGCAGGAGGCAGCCGATCCATGATTCTCTCTCATCATTGATGTTTCTATCTCTCCCTCTCCCTTTCTCTCTGAGAGCAATAAAAATCTATTTAAAAAAACACCCTTGTGAGGGAAACAGTGAGTGGTTACCCAAGTGGAATACACAGCAAAGAGCTCAGATGTGTGGATTTATTGTGTTCATCTGATGTCTCTCTCTGTTTGGATTATCATGATATGGATTGTAGGAATTCCTCCCAATAGCAGGAGAATTCCAGGGGGGTTTTTTTGTTTGTTTTTTGAAGAATTCCGTGGTGATGTGAGGGAAGACAGTGGGTGGAGCTTGTGGTCGCCCAGGTGGAGCGAGAGCCGCCAGAGTGAAGGGTACAGGCACAGTGATGCTACCTCCCAGTCAGGGTGGTACCTGCTCCATCTCAGATGTTTGCCGGTAGCTTTTTCACTGCGTGTGAAGCATATTGGATGTCAAAGGTATTTTTTAAAAAATCCATATGGACAAAATGCTTGCCTTACCAAATCTGTTGATTTATGCTGCGGCGAGCGGCGACCGCGTTTGGACAGGTTCAAGCCTGGGACTGATGAGAGGGCACGATCCTCCCGTGGCAAAGCCACGTGCAAGTCCAGCACAATTGTAGCCAAAGGCTGTGGCTGTGAGCTTGACCTCATGGTCCGAACCTGCGGGCCCACGTGGCTGAGTGATGTGGGCTGAGCTATTGGCCTTCAGGTTTCTAAAGTCAGGGCCTGGGAGGGGAGGCAGGCACTGGCAGAAGGAGAAATGTCTCACCATTTTTGAACGAATGTTAAAATGGAGTGCCTTCTCTGAACCAGATTATTTAAAAGCACCCTCTGTGCCGGCTGGGGTGCCGAAAATATCGAAGGGAACACTATGCACAGTATATGATTGTCTAACCACTAGGCTGTACGCCGGAAACCAGCACGGAAGAAAATCAAATCAAAAGGAAACTGCAAACAAACAAACAAAAAAAAGCACCTTTCTGGACTGGGGTGTCGTCTACTGTAAATACTGTAAACCTGAGTCTGAGTCAAGTGTAGACCTGTTTGTCCCTCGGTGACGCGCATACTGACATGCGTGTTTTTTTTTAAAATATATTTTATTGATTTTTCACAGAGAGGAAGGGAGAGAGATAGAGAGTTAGAAACATCGATGAGAGAGAAACATCGATCAGCTGCCTCCTGCACATCTCCCACTGAGGATGTGCCCGCAACCCAGGTGCATGCCCTTGACCGGAATCGAACCTGGGACCTTTCAGTCCACAGGCCGACGCTCTATCCACTGAGCCAAACCGGTTTTGGCCTGACATGGGTTTTAAGGTAGAATAGGAGCATCAGCTAAGAGATTTCCACCGAGAAGCACACAGAGACCTGTCCTGAGTAATACGTTTACGATGAACTTGGGGTGATCATGAACTTGAGTCTCCCACGGTTGAGCTGCTTCCTCCCCAAGTTGCTGCTGTCAGTGCCATTTGTGGGAAAGATGAGGATGGGCGGCCTGGATTTTATTGCCTTCGTTTTCACCTCCAACCTTCCCGAATCTGATTGACGGGAGGAACGTGCGGGCGAACAAAACAGAGGCTACCCCCGGGACTTCATTGCCTTCTAATAGCCCCTGTGGTTGCACGGCCTGATGGGAAACGGTATTTTTAGGCGGCGTGGGTGATGGGATGTGACCGCTGCCGAGAAGACGGTAATATTTTAGATTTGGACAGTTTGGCGTCTTAATAAATGTTAAGTCTCCTTGAAAACAGGATTTCGCCAAACAAGCGACACAAATAATTGGTCTCTGCTCCCTCTTTCCCACCAGCGAAGAGCAGGCGTTTAAATGTCAGGGTTACAGATTTCTGTGTTGCAAAATATCAATCTAATTATAAGATAATTGTAAGTGATAACGTGGGTAGCCAGATCTTTAGGGGAAAAAATCCTGCTTCTTTCTGCCTTTCAGCCAAGGCAGTATAAATATTTAGCTTAT